AGCTTTTAAACAAAATATCATTCATAGTAAAAAAACACAACACATAGCATAATAAAAGACAAATATCAAGCTTAGTCCAAGGGTCCCCAGTGGAGTCGCCATCCTGTCGCACCCTCGCGAGCGGAGCGCGGCGTCGCGGCGACCATCGATTGATTTCGGGGTCTCTTAGTTTTATTTTTGTGTAAAAGGGAGTCGCCACCTAGTATTATGGTCACTAGGAAACCTAACTGGTCTTTAAGAGATTCTAAGGAAAGGGACTGGTTGCGTAAAGGGAAGGTGTTAGCACCCCTAGTACGCCCTACCTAAGGTAAGCTGCTTGGTGTTTGTCTTATAATTGTTATGGTGTTGGTGTTTTCTAATCCCATATGTTTTTCTCGGTTCGATTGTAACTAGATTTCTTAAGAAAGAAATCCAAGGAGATTCAATGCGCTTTACAAGCTCATTTTTTCCTTGGTATTTCAAGAACTCGTAAATCATGAGGGAGGATAAAAATTTAGAAATCTAGGGTGCTTTAAACGCCTATTTTTGCCTTAGTACTTTTGTACTCTCACGGCTCATAAACCATGGAGAAAATTTTTTTGAAATGTCCTCGATTATAATCAAGGCTTCTTTCAAGGATGTGTGCGGATTTATTATTCCTAGAAAATTATCTTGGATATTTACCACTCCGGGTTTCTTTATCCAAATATTAACAGTGAATAATAACAAATTATTCCCAATAATATTTTGGATGTTCATCCTTTAAGGATTTCTTCATCCAAACATTAGTGGTAAATAATAGATAAATTCTCCCCAAAATAAGATTTTTATATTTTTTGGAATATTGGCCAACACCCTTTGGAATTTTAAAAACATGTTGTAAAATCCATAAATGCAAGAAAATAATTTGTGTTTAAGAAATCCATGCGAAAACACATTTTTCAAAGCTTCCAATATTTTTTCTATATAAAAAAAAATTCAAAAAAAAAATAAAATATGTTAGGGTATTGGCCGTATGCAACACAAGAAAATAAATTTTTTTTATATATATATTTTTAATACACCAACATCACAATTAGACATAACGCCAAAATAAAAAGTAACAAACCATCATTTATATTACAAGAATTACAAGAAACTTGAAACAAATCATAAAAATCATTCAAAGCCAAATCAACTTAAAATTTTGTACACTGGAACTAACTAAATCCATATGAATAAGGGAAACAAAGTCTTGAAACTGAAATTTTGAAATTAAAATCCTAGTGCATGTGACCATGACTCATGACTAAGTTTTTACAATCCGGGAGTTCATACCACGGTAATTTCATAAAAAGGAAGAACTTGGAATGGCATGCTTTATATATATATATAAATGGAAATTAACTCCAAAACAGTGATGATCAATGGCAGGAACAAACAACCCCTTTTCCCCGGTTCCTTAATTCCAAAACAATAAAAGGAAAGAAATAATTAATGGCAGGAACAAACAGCCCCTTTTCCCCGGTTCCTTAATTTCAAAACAGTGAAAGGAAGGAAATAATTAATGGCAGGAACAAACAAAGGGAAGCAAAAAAAAAAACCAGAGGATAATTAACTCTTAACAGCCATCCATCCGCAACTCAAAACCACGGCAGACCATAAGACAAGGGAAGCATTCATTGTACAGTCTAACCTTGAAAATAAATGTGCAAAACAAAGAACGAATAAGGAAGGCAGCAAAGGAGGAGAAAATTAAGACTTACCTGCAGGTTTCACCGTTTCCTTTTCTGCAGAAGATGAGGTACAACTAAACAAGTGTTGCTGTCAAACTTTAAAGCAAATCCCCTTCTCCGTCTTGTCTTTTTTTTTCTTTTCCCTTATGGTCGACCCCTCTTGGTTTTTTCTTTTATTTTCTGCTCCCTTCTTTCGTTCTTTTCTGCTCTTTTTTTGCTTTCGTTCCTCTCCCTTCTGCACTCTTTTCTTATTTTTTTTTTTGCCGCTTTTTGATCTCTCCTTCTCCTCCCCGCCCTAGGTCATTAGAGGGGCTTATATATAGTCTAACCTATATCTATTTAGGAAGGATTCAATGCATTAATCCTAGGACGCAAATCCCTACTGATTTGCAGTAAAAAAAACGCAAAAGGAAACTGTAATATTCTGATTTTGTGGTGGTGTTTTACGTCTGATTTCTTTCCAGTTTTGGAGGATGGTGTGGCTCTTTTCTTTCCTTCCATAGGGCCAGCTGCTCCCTTTGAAATGAGGCAACAAAAACGTGGTCTTTAGCTCCAATAATCAGAGGCGATGAGAAAGGAAAAACAGCAGAGAAAAGGGAAAGCAATCAGATGCAGGGTGCAGCTGCAAAGTCTTATTTTCCTTAATCGGTGTGGTAAAAATCCTTTCATTTATGATGATCCACGCCCCCTCTCCAGCTTTCCATATCCTTCTTCAATTAAATCCCTCATTTTAACACTTTTCGATTCAGTCCTGGGTCCCGAAAAAATCCTTCGAATCAGTCCCGCAAACTTGGGTCAAAATCCTGCTTGTGACAGAATCCTCTATTTTCACATCAGAGATTCAAACGTGCAGAGCTTGAGCTTCTGATATCGAAATCGAGAAATTCAAAAACCAAAATTCATCTATGCGTGTAGGATTACAATTTTGACAGGGATTTAAGGCGAGATATAATCATTTTATAGGAAAGAATTGGGCCGCGATCTCGTTGATCAAAAAGGGTCTCCTGATCTGATTCAAAAAAAATGACAAATGTCGAGCATCCTGATATGACTGGGAGTACCCTAAGAATGAACCAGAAAAATCGTGACGGCAATAGAATTTTTTCGGTGCAAAACTTGGGTCAGAATCCTGCTCACGGCAGAATTCTCTATTTTTCACGTCAGATATTTAAACGTGCAGAGCTTGAGCTTCTGATATCGAAATCCATCGATTTGAAAGTCAAAATTCATCTATGCATGTAGGATTACAACTTTGACAGAATCAGGCCATAATCTGGTTGGTCAAAAAGGGGTCTCCTGATCTAAATTCAGGAAACTGACAATGCCAAGCATCCTCGACTGAGAGTCTGCCATAAGAACAATGAGCCCTAGGACCCAATCAAGGTGTAGGTCCATTCTTCAACATGTCATGAGTGATAGAATATAGTTGGGATGGTCAGATATTGCACGAACCCAAGTCAGAATCAGGGTCTAAGTTGGAACAAAACAACAAAAAAAATAAATAAATAAAATTGCGGCAGCAGTAGAACTAGGTTTTTCTAGTGCCACTTTCAAAGAATTTATTTCAACCTTACAGCCCATGTAAAAGAGGAATGAATTTATCATTATAAAGAATCCTAATTAGCCTAAGAATCCTGACAATTTCGGTAGCAGTGGGGAAGGATAAAAAGAGCAGGAGATGGCTAAAAAAATGAGTAACAACAGATGCCCCCTCTTTACAAAACTTGCGAAGCTAAAACTTGAGTAGCAAGTTTTGTAAAGATAAATTAATAAAACTGTCAAAACTCGATGCCTTCTTAAATATGGTCTCATTATTAGGTGACCTATATGTTTCTCTATTCAAAAGAATTTTAAAAGTGGTCTAAATGCCGGGTGACCTGCCCGTTTAGAAAACTCCATGCTTTGTCTTTTTTTTTTTCTAGTTCCCTCAAATTACTAAATGGCGACTCCAATAAAATCTTTATTTTCCCTAATCAAATAAAAACTAAATTATTCTTTTTTTGTTAATAAAAAACAAACAAAAAAAGAGTAGAGTCGTCGCCCGACGTCGAGCAGC